TATCATATGTTTTTTATGTAAACTCTTAATCTGACGAAAAAGGCTAACTCGTAACTGCAGCTTTCAGATAAACATGGTAGAGGGAAAATTATATTTTTCTATGTAATGTAGTGAAATGCACAAAGTTGAACCTCATGGAGACACTACAGGAAATGTCAGAGGATCTCTAACGTCATTAGGGTTCATCTTCTGGACACCATCTCTCTCTCAAATTAAATCGAAGGCAACTGGACTTGTATTTGTCTGTGGAAGACGTTTCGCCTCTTATCCAAGCGGCTTCATCAGTTCTTATGTATTGGTCTCTCTAGTCCGCACTAGTCTGACCAAGAAAGTGGAGTAGGACCCAGGTATTTAACCTCTTGTGGGTGGGTCCACCAAAGTACCTGTGAAAGTACTGGTTTCACCTGACCATTGTTGTGGTCTCATGTGGACGACCGTCGTTAGGGTCAGGTGACCCTGTTGTTATCCCGTGTGAACGACACCATGAACATAACAAATTTCACAGAAACACATCTAATAGTTGTTTCACTAAAAGTCAACGTTGTAAACCTGCTGATGGCACAAGGGGGAAAGTCAGGAGATCGCCAACATCGTCAGTTGGTGTCATTATCTGGAGAACATGAACATGTGTGTACCAAATTCCACGGCAATCCGTCTAATAATTGTTTAGATATTTTAGTCTGGGCCAAAGTGGTGATAAGATGGCTTATACTGCACCTACAATGTATAGACAAGGCTTGTCTGACTGGGTTTGTTGCCTCTAATACACTGAGTGAATGGCTTGTCTGTGTCTGACTGTACTTGTACAAAATACCTTGTATTCATGACAGGCTGGAAAAGAGATCCAAGATGAGCAAAGCACCCCAGACAGGTGAGGCTGAATGAGCCAAAAACGTTTGATTTGCATATGAGCTGCCGAATTCAGGAGTCACACAAGAAAAGCATCAACTGCCATGCAAATGAGAGGCAAATAAGATTCAAAACAGGACCAGGGTGAAGGAGTGGTCAAAAAGGTGTTTTGTGTATGCACTACTTGGGACTATCTCAACATTAGTCTACACAGTCGTCCGTGCCTCTGACTTCAAGCTAAAAGGTCTGTCAAGTTTTACCACAACAGCAACAGCAGCCTGCTGGGGAAGGACAAACCATGACATCAGAATAGTGGAAGCAGCACTGAAGACAATAGTTCTCTGTGCAGGAGAAGAGCTGAGGCGTAGCCTGGCTGGACAGAGGCTCTTGTCAGTGGACCAGCCGGCCTCAGCAGCTGTCTCAACCTCTGTCTGTATCTCTGTCACATACACTATTTCAATTCAGCATGAAAGCTGACATAGCATTAGGACAAAGGATCAACAGATTTACGTAAAATCCCTTTACCCCTATGTGTCTCTCCCCCTGTGTGTGTGTATGTGTGTGTGTGTGTGTGTGTGTGTGTGTGTGTGTGTGTGTGTGTGTGTGTGTCAGCCTTTCTCTGTCCATGCTCAGTTCCAGCTCAGGAACGCAGGGACGGAGGTGGAGTAGGAGGAGAGCCCCGGAGAAAGAAACATTACAAACTGGCAAAACAAAGAGCCAATGGACAAAGTAGCCCCCACTGACAGGAGATCTGGGGTGATAGTAGCATGTGTGTGTGTGTGTGTGTGTGTGTGTGTGTGTGGTGGTGTGTGTGTGTGTGTGTGTGTGTCTGTGTAATGTAAACACTTAACACAGAACACACAGCCTGCCCACATGGTAGCACAGCATTTACACGTTATTTGTCTTCTCATAATTGCCTGAGTAGATAAACAAAAAGCTTCCAGACATGTAGTCGCTGCTCAGCTTGTGCCAGAGTACTTAAGTTCATATTATTTACCCAGACCCTTCAGTGGAGAGCCCTCTTCTTCAAACAGCCGTAAAGGTTTACAGGCCATGACAGAGAGGAGTGAAGAAGCTCACCACGTAGCTGAATTTCACATGGGGAGAGGAGAGAGCTATGTGACCGAGGGAAGCTGTTAGAGCCTCACAGATCCCTCAGGGATGCACCACCTGGGTTGTCAAAAGGAGTCTGGCTGGCCTTTAAAAAACAGCTCAATATGAGATGTGCAAACAGCGGATGAGCATCATTGAGCATGTATCAGCAGTGTATCAACACAAAACCCACCTGCCCTTCAGTTTAGGCCTATTGACAACAAATGCAACAAAAGCCCTGTGTGATACGCCCAGCCTCGAGGGGCCGCCACAGCTATCTATTCAGCCTCGATTCACCTGTGAGGAGGATTCAATAGGTCTGTATGTTATTAAAAGCTTTCATACACATGGGCTGATGGCATTATGAATTTGCGTAGAGGACACCGACCATTCCTTTTGTTAGATTGCTGAATGGCCACAAAGGTGATCTAAAATACTAACCTGCTTGAATCTAAAATGAGCAGATCTTCTTTGTGTTCTGCCTCTGACAAAACTTCGAGATTTGCCTGCTCAAAATATAAACAAGCGGGCTGACTAGTTGTAGTTCAACAGTGATGATGCTGCTGTAGTGTGCAGTGAGCGAACATCACTATAGTCTAGTGTTGCGCTGCTTTTTCAAGGGCTGAATAACCTTTGTTATTCAATGATAAGGAGCAGGTTAGTATCTCTACCATGAACATAACAAGAATGAATTTCCTTCATAAAATTAAGTTTCTACAAATTTTATAAATTATAAAAGTGGCCTCATTGTTAAGGTTAGTTATATTATAAGTGTTCCCTTTATGATGGCATCGGTCCTACATAGATCAGATTGTAAAGGGCCTTATGATTTTGAAACTCACATAATAGTTCAAAAAACATTTGATGGGGACAAGTCCCATTACTTCACAATATGTTTTTTGTTGTTGTTTTTTTCAAGTTATATTTTTGGGCATTTTTGTCTTTATTTTTGATAGTAGAGTGAGATAGATAGGGGGAGAGACTGAGGGGATGACAAGCAGCAAAGAGCAGTGGGTCGGATTAAAACCCATGGCCGCCGCAATTAGGACTAAATCCATGTGGTACGTGCTCTACCAGGTGAGCCACCCAGGCGCCCTGTTTCTAAATCCTGTGGTGTGGTGGTGGCTGCTGTGACCATGTGATGAGGTGGTGAGGGAGCAGTGTGTCTTATTGTTGTGTTGTGTCCCTCTGGATAACTGTGCTGGTCTGTCGCTCCACAGGATGAACCGGGTGACCCCTCGCACACAGCTGCACACTGTGAGACAAACAGTCTCCTGCTTTATCCTGGGATCAAGATCACTGAGGATATCTTCAAGTGAAAACTGGACACAAACCACACTGACACACACTGTGTTCAGGCAGTATTAACCACAGAGCCTTTGCTATGTAAATGCTGTTGGCCTGGTGAGTTAAAAGACAATGATTGCCATCTAGTGGTGGCTCTGTGAAGAGGAAAGCTTTGCACAGGTAGCATGAGGTCATCTCTACCTGAGCTGTTTTCTCAGAAAGGGAAAGTGAAAGTAATGAGGCCAAATAATAAAAGAATGAAAATAATAAAATAGTTAAATAGCACAACAGTGGTAAAATAAGTTCTTGTATGCTATTCTACAAATTTGTACATTACTTGCACATTAGACATTATTAGGAGACATACATACATACAGACATACATACAGACATACAGACAAACATACATACATACATACATACATACATACATACATACATACATACATACATACATACATACATACATACAAGAAATTAAAACATAAACATTGCTGCAAAAAAAGTTTATAACATGTCATATAAATAAAAAAGGTGTCCACAGATTACAAAGACAGCAAGGCAGCTACATTTGAGTTGTCTCTGCTAATGGTACCTGTTGTTGTAATAATGTTAACATAATACTAACATACATTGTTGTAATATCAGTAAATAAACAACTGCTGCTTCAACTCTCCTCAGGCATAATCACCACTGGTCTCCATGTTTGTTGACAGTTAATCCATGGCTAAATATTTTATGGTTATGGCGGCATGGTGGTAAAGTGGTCACCTCACAGTGAGAGGGTTGTGGGTTTGAACCCCAGGCCTGGGGCCTTTCTGTGTGGAGTTTGCTTGTTCTCCCTGTGTCTGCATGGGTTATCTCTGGGTACTCCGGCTTCCTCCCACAGTCCACAGACATGCACGTTAGGTTAATTGGCGGCTCTAAAAGTGCCCAAAGGTGTGAATGTGCACAAGTGGTTGTTTGTCTGTATATGTCAGTCCTGGGATACACTGGCGACCTGTCCAGGGTGAACCCCGCCCTCGCCCAATGTCAGCTTGGATTGGCTCCAACCCCCCCACGGCCCTAAAAGGATAAGCTGTATATATGATAGATAGATGGATAGGTTCTTGGTTATAGATCATTATTTATTCTACATTCTGTAAATGTAGGTAAGAATTCAGTGAAGGAAGAGCCATTAATAGCAAAAAGAGCAAAAAATATTGTTGTTGCAAATTTTTTCTATGCATTAATGTGCTTACCAGGTTTTCCTCACAATTGTTCCATCAGTAGTGTTAGAGGGGTAACACATCGCCGCATGTTGCTGAGTTATATGAAAAGGTACATTCAAAAAAAAAAGAAAAAACCCTGTAAAGCCTCTGTTGTCTCTGTCGTTTCTGCCACTATCTCCCTAAGATAAGACTGAGCCCTTGGTTTTCAAAATAAAAGTCAAATATAATTATATGTAAAAGTCATAGTGTTCAGTTAATGTATATTTTTCTGTCAAATTTAGTAAATGAAGTGAATATATCTGTCTGCCAATGCACAGTCGTAGAACAGAATATGGCCAACAACAAGCAAATAAACATAGCAACATGAGAAATTTATATTGATCCAAAAGTGTTAACTCTTGAATTCTTAACAAGAGTCTGTATTTTAGATCTTCTGGTTCTGATGCTGGTAACCAGACAGTTTCCAGGGGGGCCCATTGTCAGGACTAAAAACACTGCAGAACGCACACCATATGAATGATGCATCCCATCTGATTTGTTGTTTCATAGACATACAAAAACTGTCTTTAATGATACTCATTTATTCAAACATTCATGTGTACTGTTTTCATAACATTACAATGGTAAACAAAAAAAGGCAACATAAAAAAAATCCACTGACAAAGAAAAAAATTCAACAAAAGGAGAAAAAGTCTCTGATGCATAACAACTTGTTTGGGGTCATTTTTGCTTTCTGCTGTACATGACATAAAAACTATGACAGAAATGTCCCTACTCAAATCATGTACACCTGCAGTAAACTGTATCATTCATCACAGATACAGCTGTTTACTGACCATCTAACATCTGTCACAACTGTCCTAAACTGTGTGGGGGGAAAATGCTGCCAGCATTTTTCTGGATAAAAACCAGACACACACTGTTGCTTCTTCTATCCGTCCAGTAGCTTAAGGATGCTCTCCCTCTCCTTCAGCGCTTTCCAGGCCTGGTCCTTCTCCTTTTTAGTGGGAGTGCGTTTCTTCTGCCGTGCTGCCATGATCCGCCGAAATCCCTCCATCACCTCATTGTCAGACACCCTGACTCTCTGCCTCAGCTCCTGCTTGCGCATCTCCTCTTTTGCCAACCTGTGAAACAACAGCAAATCAAAAGTTCATGTCAACAGCTGACCGTGGATAAGACCATAACTGTTTACAATTTACTTCATGGTAAATGTATCCACTGTTGGCCTTTGTCCTCACCGAAGCAGCTCCTGCTTGCGAGCTCTGTTGTGAGCACTCAGGGCTTTCAGCTCTGCTTGTCTCTTCTGCAATTCAGCCAGGACCTCGTCCTCAGAGTCTCCTCCTGGTCCAGGTCGCTCCTCAGAGTCCAGCAGCCCCTGGGCTACCAGCTCCTCTTTGATCCGTGCCTCCAGGGAACGTGTGTGAGGAACACTGGAGGAGGGAAAGAAAGACAAAAGATTTGCGATATATGACATGAAAGGTTAAAAATTCAGAAAGGCGACTTGACACCTACAGTAAACTTTATCCCGCAGCACACTTCAAAGTACTGTTTCACCTCTGTGTCTGTGTGGTGAGGGAAAAACAACTTCTACATATGTTAGGATCAGAACCAAAATGTACCTGCTCCATTCTTACATTTTACAATTATTTCAGCCCTCCATGTGTTATATATATATATATATATATATATATATATATATATCCCCATTCACATAAAGCTCTCTCTAGTAAATATATCCATAGTTCAGTGAGTTACAGTTGCAGGCCTTAGTGTTGTGAATGATGATGACCTGGAATTAAACTATTAGGGCAGTAATGCAGAATGGGTCCAACACAGGTTATGCATATGATTATTATTCCCGTCAGATATTGGACTTTGTGTGTGAGTGGTTTGTGTGTGAAAATGGCAAGAAATGCAGCAGGATCTACTGTAGAGAACTGATTTTGGTGCTTCTGATATCTCATACATTCACAAAGTGTAGGACAAATACCTAAAAGCTTTTCCTTGGCTTCGAGGAGACGTCCCAGCGCCATCATTAGCATCCCTCCCGGAAATGTCTGGTATAGGAGAATCCTCCATGGGGGATATAATGTTCTCCTGAAAGCAAACAGAAATAAAACATCACATTTCAGTGTTTTCACAATATTTAAACATAAATATTCAAGATGCCAAGTCCCACTTTTCAGTCATTTGTGTCTTTAAAAGCCACTATGCATTAATGGAAGTATTATTGGTGTTCATGCTGGATCACAAAATAATGAGTCGCACCTCTACAAGAGCCTGGAGCAGACGCTGCGTGAGAGGACCAAAGGGACAGCCGTCCTCTGGAGATTCATGCTGGGACTCTGACTTTTTCAGCAGCGAGTCAACATCTAGTTAAACAGTAGTTAAACATGAAGATGAGTGGTGAGGTGTAGTAAATGTAGTCTTGCATTTAGGCGGAGGTGGCAGTCTTCCTTCACCTTTTGCATCCAGTTCAGACAGCGGTCCTCCCATGAGGCTCTTCTTCTTGTCATTGGCTCGCGCTCCTTCCCTCTGCTCCTCTAGCAGATCCTCTTGAGCCCATCGCTGAGAGTAGTGTTTCCCCAGTGCTGGAATCTACAGTTACCACAGACAGCTCCAAAGCTCAATACATATTTAACATAATAAAAGCACAAAGAATTTTGGTCATGGCCCTGAGTGAAGATATGTATGAAATAAGAACAAGCTCAGAGGCTTTTTTTTAAAATCATACTTTGAAATACTCAGCTTCATCATCTGGGGGTTTCAGAAGCTCTTCTAGCAATCGTATCTCTTCATTTGTAATATCGGCGCAATATGGCTCAACTGATGCCCAGAATCTGAAAACAATTTGAATGAAAAAAAAAAAATTGAAATGACAAAATACCTTACCAGAAAAAAAACTGAGAATCCTGATTGAAATCAGTCTCACTAATATGTTAAATAAAATCATGATTTGACTTGAGGAACAAAGAAATCACATAGGCAAGGCAAATATAGACAGAAGTGAGAGCTACTATGAAAAGCAGTTGATGCTGACCTGTTTGGAGCATCATTTTTAGGAGTGCGAGGAATGTCTTGTGGATCGTCTGTAAATTCATATTCTTGGACTTTAGGCTGCAGGTTTTTGGATTTGGGTCTGCCAGGACCAGGACCTGGACCATGACCACCTTTGCCATCCAACTTCTGTTTTTTTGGTTTGTGGCGAGATGTGGCAGCAGGGTCTGGGTCTTTCCCCAGCTTCAGAAAGCGCTTATCCCCTTTCTTGTCCTGCCAGTCAGTGAGGATCTGAGGCACAGCATAGTTTTGAATCACCAACAGCACAAGGCATGGAGTGGATGAAAACTACAAAGTGACACTTCTTAAACCAAACTAGGATTTGTGTGTGATTTATGTGGCACCACTTAAACAAGCAAAGTGCATGGGATAATTCCCATCTGTGTCCTACCTGTCTCTGCTCCTCCAGGGCCCGGAGGCGGCGGCTGGCTGAGGACAGGAGTGTCTCCAGCTCCAGCTGCAGGGTGTCCAGCTCCTCAATGCCAATCCCATCGTCCTCTGAGCGGCCCAAGACTGCGGTGTAGCGGGGGCACACCTTGACATGCTCGACGGGCTTGAAGTCATAGTATTTCAGTGGAGGGCAGTCCTTCAGCTCACTCATGATGCTGTGAGGCAGAGACCTGGCAGTACCCGGATGAACTAATAGAGAATGACAGTGTGGTTAATAACACATGATGAGACACCGCGGTGTACTGCCACCGTTCTTTCTCTCTCCCTCACTGTTAGTCTATATCCCTCTACCAGATACACACTGTAAATACACACTCAAACATGCACGCACGCGCCCAAATACATGTACGCGCAGGTCTGTTTCCCACAGGACGAGCTCGCTGGGCCCGAACTGTCCAAATTACTCTTACATGTTAATATCTGCCGTTATACTTTCACTGTTTTGAAAACAAACGTTTAACACAAAGGAGTTCTAGAATTACAAGAGCTAAATGGTACGAAGTTAAAGTACAGATATATATCTATGAATGTTTAAGAGCAACGATATATACCGTCAGTGAATGGCGTCCATGATGGAAAAAACCATGGTGGTAAGAGAGGGGTGTGAAATACATTCAAATAAAATTATGGCCCATTTTCGACACAATTACAATTCTAATAACAAATTGAAATAACACAACTTCACAAAAATCAAATGGGAATTTTAAATCGTACAATCTATCGAAACAAATGTGACGTTGAGAATAGATAATCTGATACTAGAGTAGTATCATCGGAATAAACCATATTGTGTTAAGGGGAGATATAATAAATATATTGGCGCTAAACTCGCAATTCAGCACTTTAACTGTGTCATGTGTATGTTACGACGCTGGTGTAATTTTTAAATTCGTTTACAGGTCACAAAATATCAAAATTAGTTATGAGGCAACGGTCGCTGGGCGATTTGCCTCCTGCGCACAGAACAGAATGGGCGCATCGTCGGGTATGCTCGTTTTAAAGAACATTATATTCCACCTGGGCGGAGTAATAAGCACAAACAGCAGTGTATGGAGTGCGTGGATACATCCGCCTCCCCAAACGACGTGTTTAATACAAAACGAGCGCACCCTATCTGTTCTCGACGATGTAGGATTTACGGAAGAGGAGTCCCAGGCGTGGCTGAGGAACTTCCGTCTTTTACAGCACAAAAATGGTAAGTCTCCTGCTCTTAATCTGTGCTATATTTTGTTATTTAGCTACGTACCTGTGCTAACTACTGCTACATTCAAGGCGAGGTTAGCTAGCTAGCTCTGTGTTTGTCATAGACGGTGTTTCTGGTTGGCGGCAGTGAAATGGGAGAACGGGCATCCTTGACAGGGTTTGCAGAAACTAAAGTGATTGAGCTGAGCTGTCTTTTCCTCTCGGCCCTGTTTCTCCTCGTTACTGTGACTTGTAGCTCCACCAAAACTCTGCCAGTAGACGACGGGAACGCTGTGAATATGTATCAAGTATAAACAGAATGATAATGAGGCTAGACGGAAATGATTAGGATGAGATGCATCTCGGTCAGCTGAAAGCATCCCGTGCATTAATGTTAATGCACGGGAAGTAAAATCATTCAGGTATTATGAAACAGTATGTATATGTAATTAGCATTTGTTTAATACATTTTCTATATTAAAGTGGGCTGTTGGTGGCTCTATTTCTAAAAACTATATCGTAGCTATCTTGAGTATAAGTGTGTCATAACTGAGTTGTAGACACTGCATCCCTGCACACAGCTCCTTCTGGTTCCTCATCACACCTGACCTAATAGGCGTGTTGAGTCACCCCCACTAGAATGGGAGGTTTATTTTGCCATGTACCCAGATCTAAATAACAGATAACATCGCCCAACAAGATCTTCTGTGCATTGTGACCTGGACTCAGACACTGATCTTGTTTAACCTCTCCACAGACAGCGACTCTGCGCCCCTACCTAAACGCTGTGAGGGCCACCCTGCAAGCGGCCCTCTGCCTGGAGAACTTCTCCTCTCAGGTGGTGGAGCGTCACAACAAGCCGGAGGTGGAGGTCAGGTATGTTAAATAGCATGTGGTTGGAGAGCTGACAGTCTCACTGGCTGTCCCCCTCCCTTTGCTCTGCTTCGTCCTGTTTCTCGTGCCCTTAAGCTGTTGGTAGATCATCAGCTGCTGTCACACAAGTGCAGACTTGTGCAAACTTGCATAAGAAAATCTAGGAGGGGAAAAAATGACACAAGCATGGGCAAAGCTGAAAAATAAGCCAGGGGCTTGCTGTGGCCTGTTTGCAGGTGTCTTTCCAATACAATGAGAAGAATAAGAAGATGTTTTATTTACAATGTATTTAATGGATGTATTTTACTGTGATTACAGGAGCAGTAAGGAGCTGTTACTGCAGCCTGTGGTGATCAGTCGTAATGACAAGGAGAAGGTTCTCATTGAAGGATCCATCAACTCTGTCAGAGTCAGCATTGCTGTCAAACAGGTGATTAAAACCAGCAGGGTTTTAGTAGTTTATTTGTAATGAGCTTCTGCTTTCTGTGACAGTATGCGTTAGAAATAACTTCTGTAATAATTGATTGTAGGCTGATGAGATCGAGAAGATCCTTTGCCACAAGTTCATGCGCTTCATGATGATGAGAGCTGAGAACTTCTTCATTCTGAGGAGGAAACCAGTAGAGGTAAGAGAGAGTGGGGGAGGGGTAATCTGATTCATATATAATGGGATGAAAAAGTGAGTGACACAAGAGGAATCAAAATACAGTAAACAGGAAGAATAAAAGTAAAACGAGGAACACTGTGAACTTTTTTCAAATGTCTTGCGTCATGAGGCTCTTAATGCACAGATGTTCAGGAAACAGTATACAAATATGAAATGCTACAATAATTACAATTGACATTCCTAATGCTATTACACACGTGATATTTTTGTTGACCAGCCTCGCTGACTCACTTTGTTTTCATTTCCTCACTGTGATTTTAGGGATATGATATTAGCTTCTTGATTACCAACTTCCACACGGAGCAGATGTACAAACACAAGCTGGTGGACTTTGTCATCCATTTCATGGAGGAAATAGACAAGGAGATCAGCGAGATGAAACTGTCTGTTAACGCCAGGGCCCGTATCGTTGCTGAGGAATTCCTCAAGAACGTAAGAGACTTGTTCTCTGCTCTGATGGCTTAAGGTTTTTCTTTACTGCATGCAAATGTCAAACTCATTGGTTTAATCTATTTATTTACAAAATTTCTTAATTCTAATAAACAGAAATGATGACAGAGAAAATAATTTGATTCTGTCTTCTCCACAGTTCTGATGAGTGTTTGTCTGTGGTCCCACACAAACCGGGGGACGCTGCAAGGACCAATCAGCACAAGAGTGTAGAACTGAAGGAGTGAGCAGCCAATCAGCGAGGAGATGAGAGGAACGTGACCAATCTGGCGATGACATCCGTTGCACCCGTCTCGAGTATTTCCCTGTACTCATGAATATCAATGACTGTATATAATGAAATATTTACCAGTTTCATTTTCAGCCACTTAGAACAAATCCCCAATCAAAGGCGGGTCCTTAAAGTATTAATCAAGTTGATAGTCATGAGTACAGGGGTGTTTAGGACGTGCTGTTGCAAATAAAATGGCCAGGTTTTTGTATTTTGTGTATGTGAGTCAGTATGTTCTGTCACTGTTGTTTCAAATTAAATCTCCAAAATTTCTCTGTTCGGGAAACCCATGTTTGAGGAAAGTAGTCTGTGGTGTTTAATCACATGGAACAAGAGCTGTCTGTAAAGAAGCCACCAAAACCCATGTATGAAAAAACTCAAAGATAATAAAACTCAGTTGTTTATACCTTTGTTGTACTTCAGTCATTCTTCTTCTAACCCTGTCACTCATGGTGTGCGAATGTGCTGTGGCCATACCTATATATGGATTTGGCTTTTGAGCATCTTGTTTTTAGTCAGCACTTTGGCCACATCTCATTCACAGTTAGGTTGTTTCAGCTGCGAGGAAGGGGAAGTAATACCTTAGAGCTGCAGACAGCCCGTGAACTATTTTGTGGTATTTGTTCACATTCACAACTTATTAAATGTAGATTATAGTTAAAAAGAAGAAAGGCATTTTCAAAATAAGATTCAGTTCTTTTTAAATTAACTTTCATTTCCTCAGGGATATTTGCCAGACATGCAATGTAGTTAGATTCAAACCTGCTACTCAAGGCTTGCAGCACTAAAGGCAAATTGTCTTGCACAACTGCACTGAAGTAATATTGGTTTAAGAACTGTTTTTCTTTAACTCACCCACTACGACTAATCGGTCACTTTGGGAATTCAGAGGAGGAACTTCATGGCCTAACTTTAATTAACTTTGAATAACCCTAATTTGCAAGATAGACTAACAATAGATAAAGTCATCACCTGGACACTCCCTGCTCATGATCATTTCCCTCGAGCCATCACAGTTCACCTGTTTGATTCTGATCATGAAGCCTTCACCCTCTCATTCCTCCATGTCTCTCATGTCAGGAAATGCTCAGGGGACAGAGAGGTACAAGTCTTCTCCAATCCTGGGTCCTGTGGTTTTCATCCATTCATGCTATCAGACAGTATTAAGCCAATACATCTCACCATCATCCTTCCCACTAACAATTTTAATACTTGATTTGATTTTGATTTTTTAAAGTCATTTTTAAGCCATTTCTAGCCTCTCAAATGTGAATATATGCAGTTTTTTGTGTCTTCAGTGATGGCAAACATCATGCCTTTGAACAAAACAATTAGTTTGAATGTCACCTTGGGCTCTTAAAAAATGTGATGGACATTTATTCACTATTTTATAATTATAGACCAAACAATTGATCATTTTATCAAGAAAATAATCAGTAGATTAAATGATACTGGAAACAATTGTAAGTTGAAACCCTAATAATTAAAGCCATCGCACAAGGTAATATCTTTCACAAACGATCATGCCATCTGAAGTAAACATTAGAAGACAAACGGAAATAGTGACAGGTTAGCTTATAAAAAATAACATCTTTATTATCGTGGAGCTGGGACGTTCATTTTGTGTGTTCCTCACAAAAAGTATTAAAGGCATGTTTTATTGTCATTGGAGGTCTGCATGTAGAATCATCACTTGCATGACACATCTGTTTCAGGTGAGATCATATATTTGACATAGACCACACTGCTAAAGATAAACTATTTTTTTTACATTAGCCATCCATATAAAATTTTAAATTGAAGTGAGTGTTTTCACCATAGAAAACCTAAAATAATCACCCAGTCCATTCATTCATTCATTCATTCATTAAATCACCAAGTTGTCCAAAAGCAATAGCTCATAGTATTGTTTTCTGAGTGGGCTCATAACCTTCAAATTGCACATCATCACTAAAGACACCTTCACACGAAACAATGATTGCACAAAACAGTAACACGTCACACATGTAGCAGGAAGTCACATGATCATTTGATGAAATTATATGATTAATACTTATATGATAAAATATGTTGCAGTAGCCTTCAGTGTTAATTCTGCTGCTGCTGCACAACATCAACACACTGAGACCATACTGAATATAGTAACAAACAGACAGGAAACTACAGTGACACAAGTGTTAAAATCTCCCTCTGTGCAAGATGACCATTTGATTCTGGATCCCACACCATGTGGCTTTCAAACACGTAGACCCAAATGCTCATCTTGTGTTCAAGGTCCTTCAAATCCCTTAAAAAAGAGTAGTATAAGAGTTTCACAGAGAGTGTGTGTGACAGTGTGTGTGTAGCAAAGGTGCTGAAGGAGGGGGAGGAGGCACATTAACCAGACAGACTCCGCTGTGAGCAGGTAGTGCAGAGTGGAAAGGTGAAAAAAACAGAGTCTGTCACACAGGAGAAAGAGGTCCGACTTCATCCACAGTGGATTCCAGTAGCAGCTTGTCAGAGGTGAGCAGGGACGGTCTGCAGGGCGTCTTCAGTCGTACGATAGATGTTCACATTCTGGAAAGAGGAAGGCAGCAGTGTCAGATCCCTGTCATATACATACGTGTAGGTAAAATAAATATGGACAGTAAAGTTAACAACAAATCTTTACAACTGTGATGTAGTTGCCATAGATCACACCTATAGCAAGGTGTGAGGTTGCATATTTCCCCCCCCCCCCCCATACAGTGTACACAGTCTATCATACCCCTGTTGTTTCTGCACTTGTGATCAAGGCTCCTGTTTGTCAGTGTACCTTAGTGTGTTTGGCACGTGTCAAAGTTTTCAGGACAGTTTTCTGACAGACGCACCTACACTATGGCCACAGAAGACTTGTCCTCTGGTATAGCCCTGGTTGTCTCATGTTACTTTGAAAAAAGTTAATCAAACCGCAGGTCATCATCAACATCTTTAATATTTGCATATGATCCAACTTTGTAGCAGTAAATGTCATAAATTCTAAATGTTCATATTAATTCAAGCATTTTTAAGGATGATTTAATTTTGCTTACATCATGTTTATAATAAAGTACCTTTATAAACGTTTTGGTCTTTTTTTTTGTTTGTTTTTTTAATGTTGCCAATATCATTTTAATTTCTAAGAGAATGATGTATGCTTTTTGCTAGTATTACAACAAGTGTACATTTTGTAATCACGCTTACTCGAGGCAGAAAGAAATCTGTGTGTGACACAGTGAGTGTTTTGTTCAGGCTGATGAATGGTGGCACTTTCTTATGCACTCCAGTGGAGTCTTTGCATAAGAATGAATGGGGAAATCTCTGAAGACTTTGGTTTGCACAGCAAAGTAAAAAGCAGGAAGGACACTGCCCTAAACATGTCATCTGCAGATATTACAGAGAGGAAGGAAATGACGAGCTTTGTTTGATTTTCAAGTAGCATGAGCAAGACATATTCAGCTCAGCAGTCTAGACATATTTTATGTTATGATTCAACCTCAAGGATATATATGCCAACCAAAGATCCTAACTTTCAGATATTAAAGAGCAGAGCAGCAGCTTTAATGCCAAGCTTTCTAAAATGAAGCACAAGAAGAGTGTGGGAGGGATACATGAACTGGTTAAGTGGAGTTTATTTAGGAACAGTAAACAGAAATATCTTCCTCTTAATTCTCATCAGTGATATGGACTTGCTGTGACAGCCTTCACATTGTTGAACAAAAAACAATAAAACAAAGTATTTCTGTACTTCGGCATCTTCATTAGACAGAGTTAGACATCCTAAAACTACGGAGAGGACTAAACAGAGTTGATTTTTATGTGCAAAATGTAAAAAAGCACAACTTTGTTTTGTGCTTGTGCCAGTCTATAAGGCTAAGATTAGAGTTTTCTGACTCTTACCAACAGGAATATAGTGATGAGACACTGGTAAAAATTAACATTGTTAATTCAGTTTAACAGACAAGTGACAAAATAAACTACACATAGTCAATGCTTCAAGAGAAGGTGCTGGAGTTTCATTGCTTCACAGTTGGGCTTTACAGCATCCGTTCAAAAAACAACCTTCCTCTGCTTTTGTTCATTCTCCAAAAATGGGAGAACGTTCACTGACACAAGAAGCGTGTCATAGGATTCATAATCAAAAATTAGAAACTGGATTCCAGTCAATTACCAACTTCATCACGTCTTTAAATATAAGTGGAGGAAAAACAGAAGACGAGAGTGGAGAGAAATTCAATCAAGGGAAGGTGCAGAAGAGAGATTTCTGAGTTTGGCAGGTACATTGTGCGTCAGAAGGGTACAGTGTGCGTAATGAAGGGTAAAGTAGGGAGGGATAGGGGAAGGGGTGAGGGGGCACTGCCTCATTGGTGAGCTGGCACTGTTAGCAAAGCCTCCTCTGACATCCGCGACACCTCTACGTTCTGTTTGTAAAAAACACAAAGAGGAGGAAGGGATCAAAACACACAGGAGACATGAAATCCAACACACACACTAAGTGAAAGACTTGGAAAGACGTAGTAAGTTTACTTTTTCTCACGGTTGATATTTTTGTCTGTCTTTGACAGTATTGTGTTAGCAGTGCCAGTCAGAAAGAAATTCAACCACTGCATACATGCTTATTATTAGAAAACCAGACGATTCCCCAGCTGCAAAAACAAAAAAAAAATTATATTATTTGTATTTCACTAGGAACTGCCATCAGCTGTCAAACTGTCATCGTGTGACTACTTTTATCAGTGCTGTTCAGTATCAATCCCTGTAAGAATCTGTAACATTTTCCACTCGGAGGTATATTTACCTAAAGGGTGTCGAATGTTAGAGGCATTAGTCATTGTTTCTGTTATGTTCCAACAACCTATAATACTCAGATACTCCAGCACGAAAACCTGCTCTGAGTTCATTATTATTCCAAAAACCGTTTGTGAAACTCAACCATCAGCGTCAACTGCACCTGCTTGTGAACCGTGTGTGTGTGTGTGTGTTGTTATACCCACCTCTGGTCTTTCTCTGTGTGTGTTGACTGCGTCCACATTTAAGCTGATAGACTCCACTTTACAGCCTGAGAAAGGTAACAATATTAGTTCAGAAAACAGAGGAGTGCACAGTGGTATTTAACAGAAAATAGATTCAGTGGGTGTAATGTGCACTGCTAGGAGACCAGTCCTACCATAGGCCACAGGTGTTAGCTTCAGTACAGTGTGCAGTGGGCATTTCAGGTATGGCAGTTCCTCTGTGTGAAGACAAATGCACAGACCAACAGTTCATGAAACTACCACAATAAACAGAAGTCTAATTCGTGTCCATTATTTCTACATCTGTAACCTAGCATTTTATTTTCAAACATCATTTTTCAAAAGGTTGACAAGGTCAAAAGTTGTACTCTGCACTCTGTCTTGAGTTATACTGTTTACTGTAGTATTTTGAAAACACAAAAAAGGAATGAAAGAAAAAGAAATGATAATTTTTAATTTGACATTTTTACTACAGTACTCTGGTCTACAACATGGGAATCAGGTCAGTCAGCCAGGTGTGAAACACATTTCTCTATCTGAGCACCATGAAATTATGTCACAGCTTCACATAGTAAATGTTACACCTATCTTATTCTGAACAGGGTGTTAATACATTAAATACATTCCATCAAACATTTAATTGCAGTGTTTCCCATACATTGGATTTATTCATTCACATTCACCACCACATATTGACTTCTATTTTTTATTTTTTTTTTTTACTATATCAAATGGGTAAAATCTTTCATTGTAGAGCTGAGTGCAGCGCATTGATTTGCTCACTTGTCAGAAAGTACTCGGCAATTAAAATATTTGCAGTGCAGCTCAAATGCACTCAACCACCACAAATAGACTCCAATTCTGTGGGAAATTAGAACTGTGTGACTAAAAGCATTCTGTGATGGTGACTGAACTGTTATTTTGTGAAGTATTATACTTTATTTTTTAGGGAGTCCATGTTTCCCTCAATCTACTTTGTGAATTTAGTGACTTCCTTCACTTCTAACAAGCTCTTCAGCAACTTTCTGAAGTAGTTCACTAAACAGGCTCTGTGGTTATTTGTGTATGTGTCTGTATGTGTCCTAAAGTAGCCTATTTAAGGACTCGTGCCTCAGGTTCAATACAAGGACTAACCTGCTGTCTTGTCCAGGAAATAGGCCAATAAGCAGCGCATGACGGCCTGGTGACAGATGACCAACACGTTCTCCTGCCTCTCCAGCTCCATGATGACCGGCTCCAACCGCTGCACCAGGTCTTCATAGGACTGACAGAGACAAGATGTCAGAAAAAAAATCAGACAGTTGTAGAGCAGAATACAACACTACTACAGATTTCATTGCATAAGGATGATTTCATCTGAAACTGCCACACAGTCATAAACCAGAGCCAGCTTTCAATATTTTTTTGTAGTGAGGATATTTTGAGATCAGGTAAGATGAGAACACACACACACACACACACACACACACACACACACACACACACACACCTGTAGTTAAACAAAAACAACAGAAAGAAAGATGTAAATCTGCAAATTAAAACTTCTAGGCAGTCCCTTTTTCACACATAATTGCATAATTGCAGGTAAACAGATTGACATTTTAGCAAGTGGGAAAATTCATGCAGTCTGTCTTAGACTAATCCTGGCTGTTACAAGATTCCCCAAAGCACTACATCAGCACTGCCTGTCTGGGCAGCAAACTAATGCCCACATCCATCTTCCCGTGTGAGATTAATGGAGAGGTAATGGGATGGACTAAAGGTGAAAACAGACCAGCGGGCATTCAGACCCACAGTAAACACCCTGACCCAACATTTTTGGCACACACACACACACTCACACACAGACTAATGTTAAGTCTTTGTTTACTGTGATCTAGTGTTAAGCCAAATCTGTCAGAGAGGCTGCTCGTCCAAGCTGAGGCTCATTAGTAAGTGTATGTGGCCAGAAGCCATCTGGATACAATTTAATAGTCCATGGTGTGTGTGTGTGTGTGTGTGTGTGTGTGTGTGTGTGTGTGTGTGTGTGTGTGTGTGTGTGTGTGTGTGTGCATGTGTCTGTATATGAGAGTGAGTGTGTGTCATTATCTTCACAAAGGATGGCTGACTGTATTTTGAAATTCCAAAATTCAAACAGAGACACGCTGTCGAAGCTACATCAATGTACACACACAAAAATACACTTTAACAGTTACACAACCACATCACATCTTTAGACAAAACATAACACGAAATTTTTGCAACTGACCTCTCCTTTCGGGTACCGATAGCGGTATTTGTCCTGGTCCCTCAGGGCAAACTCCAGAGGATAGTTCTCCTGGATCTCCTCATACATCATCTCCTCACACACACCCTGAAATGATATCACACACAGATTAAACACCATTCACACTGCACTGATGTCTGTGCTTAGCGATCAAGAGTGTCATACTCACTGCATCAATCTCATTCAGGACCTTCCACTGTTCATAGGGCACGCTGAGAGCCTCAGCTGTCTGAATGGTTCTCTTCATCTGACTGGTCCACACCTTTAGGTCGCTGATGCCCTGTGCCTGGATGAACTGGCTCAGCTTCTTTGCAAACTGCATGGAGGAGAAAAAAACACTAATTTTAACAAACTCATCTAGCTGACGAAAAAAATATAACTGCTCTGAAGAAATATCCTCCGTTGAAAAAGTTTGATATACCTCCTTGCCTCTAGGAGTGAGGCCTGAGTCTCCTCCAATGCGCCCCTTGACATTGAGCTCGCTCTCGCCGTGGCGGCACAGATAGATGGAGCGTGGCGTGATGTGGATGTTCATGAGGTAGTAGACAATCCGGCTCTGGATGTGGTCCAATACCCGGTTCACCAGATAGCGCTGACCCACATCCATGATTTTAATGTAGGAGAGATCCCTGAGAGAAGACCACAGATACAGTGAGTAATGTGCCTGAGCCAAAACCAATATATGTGTTCACTGACTCAGAGGAGTAGCTCACATATTCTAGGTCACAACAACCTTAAGAAATATTTTGAATTTTTAATGATCTGAAACAATTTTCCTCAATGTTAAGCACAAGGAAAGGCTCATGCTGATTAAAATTTCAAACTGACTGAAAATACTAATTTACAGCCCCTCTGCTCTGATGAAAGGACTAAAAAGCACTTGAAAATGCTGACATGCTATGGTAATATATTTGATGTCCCGCATTGTTGCACACCTGGGACATCTTTGCTGATACACTGTGCTCCTGCTTCCATCTCACCTGTCCAGAACTTCATCCAGTGTCTCGTAGGAGTTTTCATAACACTTGATCCTCTTCATGAAATCCTCCACTGCTTCCTCCGTGTTACAGTTGGTGTAATCAGGGCTACCCAGCTTCACTTGCTGAGCGGACAAAAATGAGAAGAATAAGTACAACAGGGGCAGAAGTTCATTTTCTCCTGAGATAAACTAAACTAAACTAAACAACACAAACACTTACAACTATGTTCTCCTGTATGACATCTGGGTCTTCACACACAGACTCCACAAAGAACACCTGAGACAAAAGGGGAAGGAGAACAAGTCAGGATTAGTATGAATGTCAACTCATGAAGTATTTAATCCAGTGATCCAACAAGTCACCTTAAAGCCATTCTGCTCAGCAAACTGGATGATGGTTTCTCTTCTTTCTCTGGTGGTGTTTGTTGCATCGAAAACCTGTAGAACACACGACAATATATAAGACAGTAGCAACAAGAAACTTTTTAACATTGTACACTGTATCCTACCAGTATCAAACATCTGATACAGCAATGAACACTTGACTTACTGCAACTTGGCCTCCTTCTTCTGAGAGGTATTGTCGCACATCATTCAACGCTGCTGAGGCACATTGTCTGTAAAGATCAAAGATAATGTTGGTCATAAATGTCACATGGTTGGTAGTTAAATAAATCTGAATTGGCATTCAAAGGTCAAAAGCCACTCTTACCGCCTGATTTTTAACCCCTCCTCATTGTCCGGACGGAAGAACTCAAAGGACTTGTAGATCTTCACAAATTCTCTCCTGTACTGGCCAACATTGAACTCTGAGAGAAAGATGGACAGGGAGACAGTTTAAATACTTTCTCCAGGGCTTTAAACTTGAAATGCAAAAACCTAAAACTAAATAAATTCCCCTCATCCTCTAGAAGTTTTTTTTCTACAACGGTGCCTTGCTTTGTAGAAGACTCTATTGACTGGAGCTGACAATTCTGTGAAGTCCTACCTCTAGTGGGCACCCCGATCCAGTTGAGATAGCGGGTCAGCTTCTTGGAGATATAGGTCTTCCCCCTAGCAGGAAGGCCCACTGTCACAATCAGGGTGGGACAGTTGGTCATGCATACTAGAATGAGAGAGGGCAAGAAAAGCTTGAGTCATGTCCCGATACACATAAAACACAAATTATACATGCAGATGAGCATCCATCACTTTAAAAATACTCCCTTTTACTATCTCGTATACTACATCATTTATAATGAGTCAATATTAACACTAGATTGTCTTTATCGGTGCGTGTGTGTAATCCAGTGTTATTTGCTACGAAGACAAAGTCACATCACACTACTGGGAGAATGATGCCAGTGAGGAGCAGAGGTCATGGTGGAACCAGGACGTGTCTGAGCAGTTGTGAAACACTGCACTTTAACTGTTCGAGACATCTGGAGAGAGCTAACAGCTAGTTTCCACACTCAGCATGTGTGTGTGTGCACAGATGACTGGGTCAGAGAGCACAGTAGTTTTTAAATGGGTGCTGCTTCACCATATGTAATTTCTTTTAAGATGCAGCCCATCTGTGGAAGCAGGCAAAAAGACTGGAACAGGTTTAGGGATATTGAGCATTAGAATACCTTTAACTACCACCTTCCTGATATTAACGTGTGTTGTTCTATTTTGTTACGTTTGCCATTATTATTCTCAATAATAATTCACACTTTGGGGCAACACTTCATCATCACAAACTCCTCCACTGCAAAGCTCGTCAATTCAATGGCACTTAAAGAGTCAATTGATTCACATATCCCTCCTCAGTCCCTCAGGCCCCAGTGAGGAGACAGTGGCCACACAGAAAAGTGACTGCCGTGAGCGCAAATAAACTGCAGCAGCACATCACTCACATGACTGCGGGGATACAATCCCTGTTTACCAACACCTGGTGCTTGACTTGGCACACAGCAACAATGAGATAGACATCCCTACTACCAGTCCTTTCTCCTCGATGCGAGCAGCCTTAATCTGCAGTGAGTATCGTGTGGATCCTTACATAACTGTGTGGACCAGATGGCTGCAGCAGCAAGACATCTGAACTCTGTAAACCGTGCCCCTGCGTTTAAAACCGGCGTAACGTTAGCTAGCTCAACCAAAGTAACTGATGTTAATGCAAAGGCCCGGGTTAGCATCAATTAGTCACGTCACCACCGCGGGTTACCGCGACAACAACAAACCTCACTAAAGACACGGGAAGTATTTGTTACTATTCATTAAACCACGGATGAAGCAGCTGTACACAAAGATTTTGTCGCCACGTCGTCGCACGCACCCTTCCTCTGAGAAATGTGTTTTTCTGGAAGGCCATTTTTATACGGCATCCAGATCTTCTTCAGGGGGTTCTGGGTGAGTTCCCGCGGGTTGGACGGTGTTTTGTCCTCCATTCCGTCTTGCGGTGAGGTGGAGGCGGCCGCGGCGGGAACACGGGGCCTTTTCCCGTGATGCTGCTCCGAAGGTGACCGGTGTTTCATCCGCGCTGCTGTGCGGGGATGGAGACCGCCCGGTCGCTCGGTGCCTCTCTCTGTGCTCTGATGTCACGTGCTCCGATCTGACCACAGCCGAACTCACTAACGGTCGCAGTAATGATCGCAGTACGGGCGCAACACGTATTCTGCTCTACCGTAAGTGACATAAGCTGTGCTCACCCATAAAACATAATACGTCTGGGTGCAAGGGCTTTTTCAGAGAAAAAGAAGGGAAGCTTGAAAATATAAGACAACATATTGTTAAGATGTTGTTATGGCAAACATGTTAACAACAACGGTTGCCTGTTTATTGATCTGGAGTTGCTAAGTTGGTCGCTAACTTTGTATGTCTGCCAGTTGGTGCAGGGAAAGTAGCGTACAGTCAGTTTTTAGAGCTTTTCACTAAAAATAGCTGTGAGGGCGAACTGAGGCAGTATGTTGCAGGTTACAAAACCAAAACAATGAGCCGAGAGACGCAGAGCCGAGAGGAACTACAGTTGAGTAATAATTGTGTGGCTTTTTCAATATGAGCAACCCCAATTTGATCCACTGTGTATGTAAAAGCTGTAACAGTGAAAGAATCAGTTAGAAATTTGCCAATTTTAGGAAGATTTACACCTGGAGTAGTCTCAATCGCCTACACTCGTAATACATGCAAAAAAAAAAAAAACATGAAAAAGTTCATCAAATACATGCATTGTTTGATTTGGAGACTCCACAACACATCAAACTATATTGTTGAGGTCTTTCAAGTTGCCTACAAACAGCAGAATGAGACTGTAGGAGAAAAGCTTAGTGTACCTTGAGGTACTGTCTACGGGGTCAAGGAGGTTAAAGTGGTGAGTTGGCCTTTAAGCATTAGTGGATTAACATTACCATTCTTTACAGTACTAAAAGTGAATTCTTAAACAGCAGCAAAGAAAACCTGCTAAAATAAACTTGGAGCTTTAAGATCAGCATCACATATTTCCACACAGTACTCAACAGAGGTCTAATCAGCAAGAATAACTCAAAACACCTGTGTGTGTGTGCGCGTGTGTGTGCAGGGCAATTAAGAAACAACTTTTACCACATTTTCATTGTTGCAGCATCGTTTGACCTCATCTCAGCACCCTGGTTTTCTTTAATAGTTGCTTAAGACTTGAGCCTAGGGCTAAGTTTGACTATTGCACAGAACTGCGCTTGCAAAACATAATATTAACCAACAGAGTCAGAGGGAACTGGTCAGTGTTATTTTCACTTGTAGGTGTCTAGAGTCAGTCGAGCAGAGCATTGTTGGGTTCAAATCATTTGTATGGGAGTCAGTCGATAAAAGAAAATACTCTTCTAGTCCAACAGCAATTTCATCTTCTCTGTAGCCCTCATGAAGACTGAGGTCCTTGAGCATTTAGTAATCTTAATCGTGCAGTTGTTTTGTGGTATACAGACTATGATGCATGAGCATGAAAAACACAGGTGTAAATACTAAAATGAGTAATGGCGGAATTCCATTCAGCTACTCCAGTTTCAGGGTCCTGGTACTATTCATGTCATGGTTAACTGGGACACTTGGATTGACTGAAGGCACCATTAATATAATTTGTAAAACCTGGTCTTTTCCTACCAGGACAAGTCAAAATATCTTCTGTGACAAATATCCTTTATTAAAATGATGGTATATATACTTTCTCTTGGCACTGCAAGTTTTAGATGAAATCATTTACCACTAAATGACAAAAGTTTGAATGTGTGTGGCGTTTCTTTAATTAAAACCACACAAATCGACTGTTAATGTCAGCTGTTCACATTTACACTTACTTAGAGACTGTGACTGCTGACAATAACCATCAGATGGCACCATTACTCTCGCTCTCCCTGTATATGTGCTGACCCAGGATTGTGAACTACCTGTATGTGAAACACCTGTAATGCAATCTAGCTCTGCAGGGAATCCTTTATTTCCTCCAGATGTAATGCTTGTGATGTTGAGCAACACATAAATAAATGTCAACAAAGGCTGAACATTATAAGCTTGACAAAGACAGCACTTTTTGCAGATTGAATTACATAGCACAGGTGTAATAAAGTGGTATGTCTCTGTACATTTTTCAAGTGAGTAGACTTCTCTTTTCATCTGTTTATGTGTTGCTTTAGGACTATCTGACGCACTTATTATATTAAGCTTTAGAGTCAACCTTGGTGGTGGAGCAACAGGGCCTGTGACCTAAATATGATGAGAAGGAGGTTTTCTAATTAAATAGCTCCTACACTCTCTCAAATTCCCTGACTGCTAGTAGACTATAATATATGTCAGGTTCATCAGGTCCTCAAATAAATGGCACACTAACTAACTAAAGCATATATTTTTAGCCTTTTCAGCAAGGTAGAATAAACATGCTACAGTGCAGAGTTTTGATAGACCCATGTGTACTGTGGCAATGTGTATTATTTGGTTTATCTAATCTGCATAAAGCTTTTGTAACCTGTGAGAACACATCTGTAGGTAGACATTCACAAGGGCACTGCGGTAAATGAAATATGTCAGATAGTTTTCAGTGGGGGTAAATGATTTATCTTGCATACTGTACAGTGGGGCATGAACAGGAAACAGATCTGAGCTCCTCCTCCTCCCCCTCGCAGCAGCTGCCAGGGTCTGATTCCAGCCTTCAGCTTGTGCTGTGCTGGACAAGTCATCTCCCAGTATGGTATATTAACATTACACTCGGCACTAAAACAGTATTCACCATGCGGAGAGACGTCTTCAGCTCATGAACCGCCATTCAGTGTTTAGTAAGACACTGTGTGTGTGTGTGTGTGTGTGTGTGTGTGTGTGTGTGCTGTGTTGCAGCCCAGTAGGAACTGTGCAATCACAACAACCATAAACACAACAAACAGCCATAAAACGCAAAGCACCGACCTCTACAACAGCATCCCCAGTATCATCAGTGTATGCAAAATGAAAGCTGTAATATAGTAATAATAACCGAAAAGAGCAGCTTCCGTCTACACGAAGCGTTTGGTTTGTTTTTATAAATTTCGCCAGCTGTAAAAAAAAAAAAAAAACACTAACAAGCATCCGCCTTCTCCTTCTCTCTGGTAAAGCACAGCTGCTACTCTTAAATAAGCGGGTGGTTTCTATTACAAAAAAAAAAAAAAAAGCAAAACAAAGAGTGTCGCCTGTTGTTGTAATGTAGGGTAAAGGTGACAGCTACAACACACCGAAAACACGTCGACTCTTGTTTACGTCTGAACGGCTGCTCGTCCTGCCCCTCGCTGCTCGACTCTCTCTGTCATCCGCTTAAAGATGCACAATTCAACCTCCAGCATGCACACATCTACTAAAGCCCGTAAAGCGACGTGTCTCACCCGCTCCTTCCTGGTTATGTGTAAGCTTGGGTCGGCTGGAGCAGCCTCTCATCATGGGCGTCTGTGTGATGGAGCGCAGCGCCTGGCGGTGTGTACGTGCGTCCAACAGGAGCCTGCCGAGCGCTACACTGATGCTCACTGAGCACACACCCACTGTGTGAGTGTGGGACCTCAGGCCGGAAGAAAAGGTTTCTCCAAAACTGGATGTAATGAGGCAGCAGCCTACCTGCCCCCTTGCACCCTCCCTAGACCCCACCCACCCTGCCTTTGACAGCTGCGTCCTTACAGGACTTGAGTTGTGCATGACATTGATGATTAAATTTAGGATACTACACACACTGACGGAAACGTTACAACATAGTCATGCAGTTGAATGCACAGGTTTATCAGAGTCAGTTATACAGTCATACTATTAACTAACTCATATAAATACACAAATATCCAACATTAAAATCAGAATATATAAAATAAGACTTACGAAAGGACTATACTTTACAGGACACTCTTTAAATGACACAGTGTTAAAGACTCTGCGTATTCACAGTTGAGTGTTGCTGTTCAGAGTTTAGGTCCATGCAGGAATAAAGCAGGAAGAGACCAGTGTACCAGGAACAGTCCAACTTGCAGAACTTGTTTTACTGCACTGTCTTCACAAAGTATTTACCCCCACTTTAAAATTTTTTACAAGTTAGCATCACACAGTATTAATTAGGCTTTTGTGACACAATTAAACCAGACATTTTATGTCATGATAAAAACAAATCAAAGTAATTGTTAAAAAATGCAAATTGACTGTATATCTGTGCACTGCTGTCTGTGACACACCTCAACCAAGCTGTTTTTCTGTCATCAACAGAGCTCAGCTGTATGTAATCAAGGTGTGTTAAGGGATGATGATAGACTCACAAATCTCAGACAAGTTTAGAAAGAAGTGCTGTACTAATCGCATGGAGGATGTAGGAGAAGGCACTGAATATCCCTCAGAGTACTGGAGATTATGGCAAATCTGCTTAGAGAGATGGACATTAGTGATGGAAACCAACAAGAGGCCTGTGAACACAAAGTTAAAAGTTTCCATGGATCTGATGAAAGAAGAGGACAGAAGTGAAGGAGTCATTTTTCCTTTAATCAGTGTCTGAAACATAAAACATAAAAAAAGGTACAGGTTGATGTGGGCTGGGGTGGTAGTGAATACTTTTTATTAAGTATTTATTAGGTATTATTGTAACTTTTGTAGGCCAGGTTAATCACAAACACACACACATGCGCACACACACACACACACACACACACACACACACACACACACATGCACTAACCTGACAGCACTGTGACCCTCTGGAGATAATATAAGCATCATGTGACCTGTCTGTGAGGACTTGAGGCTATTTCAGTGACAGTAATGATACCCTTAAAAGCAGCCTATGATAATGATGACACTAATTGTCAAGCACAAGGCCTGCGACTGCACATCTGTGAATTAATGAGACAGTCTCACACACAAACACATATAAAATATATATCAGAAAGAAAGACATCAGGGAACCGGTGGGGTCTACACTAGAAAGAGGGAATGAAGAAGAAGAGGGAGAGGGGACAAAGCTCAGAACAGTTCAAACAACACAGACTGAGCATGATAGAGAGGAAGAAACACTTGAAGGTCAGATGGCTCTCGACTGACCTTCAATACATTCCTCT